CACCACAAATTCTTTCTTTTCATATGTCATCACATTCCAAACTGGGCAATCGTACGTTTAGAATTGTTATACCAAATTTACTCCTAAGAAACTACAATTTCATTCCATGCTCACTTACAGACACACGTTACCTTATCACTATGCACGTAAACTTAGTATTATCTTGAAAGTTAACCGATGATTGCTTCCACTTCTAATTTACTTTTCGAAAACTGGTACTAGTATCTTGTTTTCAGTCGTGCCTTGTTAATTTTAAAGAGGAAAAGATATCAAGAATCAGTGACGGAAAAACTGTTGCAGCAGTTGGATCAGATTGAAAGAATGGTATTTGTTTTTCTAATATTTTGACATTTGCTAAGACTTTATAACTTTGTTATTGTAAGAGGCATAGAATTTGCAAATAATTTGTAACTTAAAATCAAGTGAGTTTGCATCAATTTCCCAACAGCACTAAAAAAAATGTAAGCATTCTTAAAGGTAAGTGATTTGGAATTCACTGTCATTGAGCAGAAGGTGGTGGAACAATTGAGACATGGTAATGAAGTCTTGAAGAGGATGAATCAGGTAATTGATTTACTCAAATTTATTTGAATATGGATAATTACTTTTATACTGAATTATATTGTTAAGATTATAGAGGACTTTTACAGACAGAAGCATTTTCAAATTATTGAAGGTAGATTTCTCAGAAATTCTCCAATTATTTAGAATTTATGTTTGTTTAATGGAGTATTTTGTGAAGGAAGAATTTACAGCTATCAGATTTCTTCGAGTCATCTAAAAATTTAAGTGCAAATTTGAAAATATGAGTAATTTATGTCGTTATTGTTTTTTTTAGTTTGCTGCAATGGTCTTATTTTACCTAGATTAATTCTACGTCCCACTTGACTTCAGTAATTATCTTTACTTTTGCGTAATGGTTTCTTTGTGATGCAAATACTTTTTTTTCAGATGATTTCAGTTGACGATATCGAACGAATCATGGATGAGACAAAGGAGGCAGCCGAATTTCAGGAAGTAAGTTAGATTCCTTTCATGTCAAAGAATTTCCGTTTTTCATTTTCGTCTTTAATTAAATATAAAGTTATAAATATACGTTCAAAATATATGTTGTAATAAGTTGTAATAATTTAATAATAGTGTAATTTTATACATATATATTTCAGTTGTTCAAATGTTTAGTAACGCTATTTCAGGAGATATCGAACATGCTCAGTGGTAAGCTCGGTGAAGATGAATTGGAAGAAGTCGAAAAGGAATTTGCGGAATTAATAGAAAAAGAAGGCGAGCTTGATTTGCCGGAAGTTTCATCGGAGCCACTGCCGGCGAAGGCACCCAAGGAAATAAGTAAGTCTCTCTATTAAAAGTGACACGGCTACTTTATGAAAGATTTTTCTCTGACTGCTAGAAAATCATCGTCAGTTGACTGGTTTGTATTGAGTAAAGCAAGGAAAATATCTAATACTGGAATATATCGGAAGTAAACAAAAAAAGAAGCACAGCCAGTAGAGTATTAGATATGATATGTTCCTACATGTATCTCTTGAAATATATTCGCAAGGATTTCGACCAGAGAGGCTTACCAGTTTACCAGTTGGCTAAGGAACCAGTCAGATGAAATTCTGGTTTCATTTTACTTTAAGTTCTTTAAGTCCTGAATTCCTAAATTCCGTTATTATACTCCTAATAAATTGTTTAACCCATGGACATAAATTATTTTTCAATTAAGATTTTTTTTTGGTTGAGGACTTAATTAATTTCCCGTTAAGTGCTGTTCTTAATTAGTTTTCTGTTGGGTTTTGTTTTTGTGTTTTAATATTGATATTGGATACAATAACGAAACTGAAGGTGAATTAGGTCAGTTGCAGTGATACAACAGCTGCAAATTATGGCTTCGCCATAACTTTAATATTGATACAACGTTGACTAAGTTAATTATTTTATTCCGAATCATTGGTATTGTCTCTTGTTGTTTGCTTTCTTGATAATAAAAACTAATTTTAGACGAGAGGCGTGAAAGAGTAGCATTGGAAGCATCATAAGTTGGCAATTCCTGAAATTGAAGTATTCGTTATATGTACTGTCCCTGGCCAGGAAATGGTGATAAGTTTTACCTACTTACATAAATGGCTTGAGGATTTTCTCTCCATATCTGAATGGTTCATTTTTTATCACGCTTTAATGCTACTGTTTAGGTGATTAAATATCACAAAGAACAACTATGATTACTTTCATAAAACATTATAATAATTCCGACGTTTTGCAAAAATCTAGATGGAATATAAGGTTTTCATCTAGTTAGGAAACCAATATTCTCGCAGTAGTCTTCCGGATTCCATAGAAAATTTGTTCGTGAAATATTGACTATTTTGCATTTGGAAACATTCGTTTTGTTTATTGATTGGTTGTGTTCACTTCTTCTGTGATAAACTATATAATATGACTGTCTGAATAAATGAATTTTCAGTCTATTTGGTTTTTTTGACTGTGCGAATGTCGCAGGAAAAGGATTTAATTCGAAACTTCCATTTTTAATTTCAAATGGGAAGGTTTTCAGCAAATCAAATTTCTGTTTATATACGGAAAGTACGAAGAAGCTAGCCGATTCCAAGTAATCTCGTTCATCAACACGTCCTATGTGCTGGTCCCGGTAATGGCACCAAATTACAATGTATGGTAT